AAAGTCTTCCAAAGAGGAAGAGGAAGGGACGAAGATCTGCAGGGCCGTAAGGGGGAGGGGGAAGAAGGGGGAGGATCCCAAACTGGAAAAAAAACCCCTCCAGAGTTGCTGGTGGCCTTATCAGCAGACCCAGAAGGAATGGGAGCGGAGGACAGGCGGGGAAGGAAGAGGCATAAACCGAATCCGAGAGGAGATGGCAACGAGGCACCTCAGACAGCGGAGCTCCACCCGGAACAGGTCTGGCATCACACGTGGGCTCCCCGGGGCACGCAAGAGAGATGCAAACGCAAGCAGGGCTGGGCGGGGCAGCAGCTATGATGGCAGAGCAGAAGGCCCCGCCAGGCCGTGACCCAGCACTGCAGAGGGGAGCAGGCTGAATGGGGGGGGGTGAGCCTTCTGGAACATATGGGGGTCTGGCCCCGTGGCCCTCCACAGCCTTTTGGGAAGGGGAAATCACTGAACAGGTTAAAAGGATAGGTATTTGTTTACTGTGCGTGCTTTTCTTACGTCACCTTTGGGCCCACGCAGGCCCCTGAAGTAGCTCACTAAAACAACCGAAACATATAAAATAGTCTACAACTTGCAGAAGATCCATGTGGGGCGGGGGGGACGGGTAGAGAGGTTTCGAAGGCCTTTGAGTCACTCTCCTTGGCCTTCCTCCAGCCCGCCACCCTCTACAAGTCCCCCCCTCCCACAATGCAAGGAGGCAGAAATTCCCAGCAGGCCCCTCCCCGTCTGTCACTCTCCTGGCACCCCCTGAGCCACTGCGAGGCCGGCCAGGGGCTACCCCACGCACTCACAAGCACCTCAAAATCGCCCTGTCTCAGCTCGCACAGGAACCAGACTTATTTCTGCAGAGCACTCCTGTGGGCAGCCTGCTCGATGCGGCCTCCGGGGCAGCCCCAACAAGGCGAGTGTGTGAGGCAGGCCGTCTCGAGGGGCCTGCCGAGGCCACACAGCCTTCTGCCAATGGAGAATCCTTCTCCCCCCAGATCCGCGGGGTGCCCAAGAAGAACGGAAGAGGAGGGTCCACGTGGGTGGCCACAGGCTCCCACTGCAACCTCCCCGCCCCGGCCATATGCCGAAGGGGCGATCCCCACCTGCCATCTTCGGCCTCCACCCCCTTGCCAGAGAGAGAGGCCCGGGCACTCCCTCTTCAGCTGTCTCCCTTAACAGGGGCACGCTGGTCTCAGGGTGTGGCAAATGCCTGGGCACTGATCCTCTGACTCCGAGGTGTGAACAAGCCCCCAACAGCTGGATCTCTGGATCAGCGACGACAATAGAGAAACCCTCGCACATCTCGGGCAGCCACAGCATTCAGAGCGGGACCACGACAGAGCGAGCAAGAAGAAGAGGAGACTGGATTTATACCCCATGGCCCTTCACTACCCGAAGGTGTCTCAGAGCGGCTGACAAACTCCTCTCCCTTCCCCTCCCCACAACAGACAGACACCCTGTGAAGGAGGTGGGGCTGAGAGAGCTCTTGACAGAAACGGCTCTTTCTCAAGGACAGCTCTTGTCAGAGCTATGGCTTGACAGAAACTGCTCTTTTTCAAGGACAGCTCTGAGAGAACTACGGCTTGCCCAAGGTCATCCAGCCAGGTGCGTGTGGAGGAGTGGGGACTCAAACCCAGTTCTCCCAGATTAGAGTCCACACACTTAACCACGACACCAAACTGAGCCAAGCGGGAGAAGCCACGGCTCCGGACAGGCGGCCCCCTGGGAGAGCTCTGCAGGCCGGCCTGGCCAGGGACTCTTGGGTGGCACGGAGTTCCCTGAGGAACACGCGCGCCCACCGGACTCCCAGCCTCTTCAGTCGAGGGCCTGCCAGTGCCTGACGGACGCCTCTTTTCATACAGGCACAAACAGCCATAAATCTCTGCGCAGCCCAGGCCGGCACAGGCGTGGCACGTGACACGCAGTGTCTCCAGGGGGACTGCCACAACCGACAGAGAAGTCGCTCTGGGGAGCAGCAGGGCAAAGGGGGCTGGCTGCCCCCCCAGTGCTTCCTAACAAGAAAAGAGGTAGGACCAGCCCACCTCAGGGCTCCACCTCCCTGCTATAAAAAGGGCTGGCAAGGATGCCCCCCTCCTTGGGGAGCTGGGCGTTCCCCTGCAGGACATGGGGGGCAGCCGGGCTCACTCGCACCAGAGGCCTTCTTCGCTGGCAGCTCTCTGCCCAGGGCACTCCGAGCAGTGTTCCCTCTAAGCTGAGTTAGCGTGAGTTAACTCAACAGTTTTTTAGCCTCTGGCTCACAGATTTTTGTCTCGGCTCAGGAAGGATGGCTCCAGATCAAACTAATTCATGCATTAGCCACATCGCTCGCTCACAGCTTTAATGCCAGGAGCTCACAAAGCAGGATTTCTGCTCACAAGACTCCACAGCTCAGAGGGAGCGTTGACTCCAGGGCTTGTGAGCTGGAGCAGGACTTGGCGGGGGCTTCGTGGTGGGCTGCGATCACAGGCCGGACAACTAGCAGCGCCCTGAGAAGCTGCCGAGCAGCAGCACCTGTCCCGGCAGCCAGAGGCCGCCATCCCGTGGCCGAGGCTCACTCAGAGAGGAGGTCTGCCCCCTTGTCCCCCTCCCTCTGGGCCCAACAGCACACACTGCCCCCTCCCTGCCCCACGCAGTCCTGTGGCTCCTCTGGCTGGTGGGCCGGCAGCCCAGCCTCGGTTTCCCCTGCCACAGCCAGGGCTCCACCCTGGACCCCCTGTGGCCAAAACCCACCGGACAGATCACCTGGGCTACTCCGGCCTGCGGGACTGAAACCCCCGTGCACCCTCCCCGCCCCCTCTCACCCCTAACCCTACCATGAAGAGGAGCACGGGAGGCCCTGGATGCTGGGATCGAGCCAAAGAGCCAGGAAGTCTGCACGTGAGGAGGGGACGACACACACACACCACACCCCGCCACCGCCCAGCTACACCCCCCAGAACCACAGCCGGTCTCTGCGAGGGCAGGCGAGAGGAGGAGGCCGAGGGAGGGGGGGGGAGAGAGAGCTCGCTCGCGAGGGACTTCCGGGCCTGACAACACCGCTCACAAGGAGAGGAGAAACAGCACAGATCAGAGGACGACGCCATTATTATCCTTAATCACACAAAGAGGCAGCTGCCAGAGAGACGGAGGCCTGCAGGGCCAGGCAGAGCAAGCCTCCCTCGGCTCTGACCGCGCTCTCGGCCTTTAAAGGTTCTGCACCAGCCCCCAGGGGCCCCCCCGCTCCCGGGGGTACCTAGCAACCAGGGCCAGGTGACAGCAGGGTCCTTCTCCCTGGGAAAAGCGGCCGCTCCGGAGAGGCCCCTGCAGGCCGACGGGAAACCCCCCTCGCCTCCGGCATGGCTGCTCTGCCCCCACCAGCTGCAGGACAGGCAGCTGCAGGAGGGAACCCCCCTCTGCCCCCCCCCCAAGAGAGAGTCTGGGGACGGGGCGGGTGCAGACCCAAAGGCTGGCTTTTGCTGAGGAAGTCACAGCGGAGCAAGCGGACCTGAATCCTCAACCCTCCATGGACGGAGTCCGGCCCAACTCTCCGGGGGGGGGGGCTCACAGACAGCTCTTCCCTAGGCAGCCCCCCCCAATGATGGTGGGCCCCAAACACAAGGCCTCCTTAGAACGACAAAGCCCCTGGGCCAAGCAGCCTCCCCCCCCCGCCCAGGGCAGGTGGAAAGAGAAAGGCACCGCGACCTTTTGGGGGGGGGAGCCTCCAGGGTATCGTAACCGGCTGGGGTCCCCCCCCAAAGCCCGCCCTCCTCAGGCTCCGCCTCCAAATCTCCAGCGATCCCCCAACCCAGAGTCGGCAGCCCCAGGCACACTGGGAGGGAGACCCACGCCCACCCCCCACCCCGGTCTCCAACACCCCTCTCCCTCCTCGCACAGGACACTCTGAGCCAAGCACCTGGCTCCGCACCATTCTCCGGAGGCAGGAACAGAGTCCTGGCGCTGCTTCAGGAGCCGAGCGTTCTGAAGGCCAGTCGGCCACCCAGTGATGCCTGGCCTGAGAGGAAAGGTGGCTCCCCCCCCGCCCCCCCGGGAGGCTCAGGTAGAGAGGAACACACACCCTTATGGCTCTCGTCCAGACTGTGATGATGATCCATGCAAACGGGGCCGGCTGCAAGAGGCCGGGCCTCGTCTTGCCTGGGCCCCGCCAGGTTTGAGACCCCTTCCCAGACAGTCTGGAAACTTGCCAGCCACCCCCAGGACGGGGGCCTGGACATGTCAGCCCCCAAGCCAAGGAGATGCCCCTCCTCCAGTCCCCCTGTGGCCACAGGCCGTGTCCCAAGGAACACAGTCCGGTGAATGGCTTCCATACGGAGCACGCTCTTTTCCCCACCTTCCCTGTGTCACAGGCGC